ATATATATATATATATATATATATAGGAATGGGATGTGTAGAGGAAATCAAGACTTATTATTGGTGAGAAGGAGGGAGATCAAGGAGGTGGAAGTTAAGCAGGGAAGACAGGGCTAAAGGAAGGCTATTTGAAGATGAAAACTCTGTGTTTATACACTGGGAAGATCCTAGTGGAAGAAGTGAAGACACTTAGGAAACAAGATGAGTAACTACTGAAGTAGAATGCTCCAGAGGAATAGAGTGATGGACTAAATATTTTTATGCAAGTGTCGATTTCGACATGAGTGATACTGCCTCCTCATAGATAAGCAGTAAGAAAGGTTGGTGGCATCTATAAACTTGGAACGTCATTGTATTGAGCAGGAAGTTGAGGTTTATTTCTGTGGCTTCTGGTTTTGTCTTTGATGAGGGAAACGGAGTTTTATGCTGGTACTGAGTAAGTTGAAATGTTAAGGACCTTGAAATATGTGTTTAGGCATTGGAATGGTCACTGTGATAAAAAGAGAATGGAGTCAATTTGCGACAGTTGAAAATGTTACCAAACAAATCAAATAAAGTAATATGTTAAAAAGGTAGTGTATCATGATCAAGTGGATAGAGCTTTTCAAGGAATTCATGGTTGGTTTGACATTAAATAATTTACCATACTATAAACTGAAATAGAAAAATCATAAGATTATCTTAATTGATGTTAAAATACAACTTGAAAAAATTCAACACTCAATCACTCGGGATGAAAACAAGGCATCTATGAAAAATTATAACAGTTAACACCATACTTAATGCTCAAAGACTATATGCTTCTACCTAAGGTGAAGAACAGGATAAAGATGTTCATTTTCAACACTTCCATAAAACACTGTAGTGGAAATCCTGGCCAGTATAAACAGGCAAGAAAAAGAAAGAAAAGGCATCTAGATTAGGAAGGAAGAAGTAAAACTATTTGCAGATCTCTTGTTCATCTATATAGAAAATATAATAGGAGAAGTATACCTTGTTAATAGTTTGGAAGATTTGATGTTACTGTGATTTGATTTCTCTCAAAATGGATCTGTAGATGCAATGCAATTCCAGTAAAAATCCCAGCAGGTTGTTTTTATGGAATTGAACAGGTGATTCTGAAAGGTATAGAGAAATATAAAAGCCTAGAATGACAAAAACAACTTTGAAAAAGGGCAATAAGTTTGGATAGCTAACATCACTTAATTTGAAGACTTAATCGAAAACCACCATAATCATAAGTGTGATACTGACATAAAGGAAGGCAGGTAGAACAGTAGGACAGAACAGTGTCCAGAAATAAACCCACCCATATATAGATTACTGATTTTTCAAAAAGATAAAATGGTAATGTAGTTCTGAAAGGATAGTCTTTTAAAGAAATGCTGTGTAAATAAGAAAAAACTTGGGGCGCCTGGGTGGCGCAGTCGGTTAGGCGTCCGACTTCAGCCAGGTCACGATCTCACAGTCTGTGAGTTCGAGCCCCGTGTCGGGCGCTGGGCTGATGGCTCAGAGCCTGGAGCCTGTTTCCGATTCTGTGTCTCCCTCTCTCTCTGCCCCCTCCCCCATTCATGCTCTGTCTCTCTCTGTCCCAAAAATAAATAAACGTTGAAAAAAAAATTAAAAAAAAAAATAAGAAAAAACTTTAATCCATACCTCATACTATATTTTAAAAAATTAATTCAAAAGGGAACATAAGCTTAAATGCAAAACTGAAAGTATAAAACCTTCAGAGAAAAAAAAAAACTCTTGTGTTTTTGGCTTTGTCAAAGATTTCTCAGATAAAACAGTAATTTCAAGATCCATAAAAGAACTAACTCATAAATTAGAGTTCATAAAAAGGCAAAACTTCTGCTCTTTAAAAGACATCTGTTTTGGTGAAGTAGGTCGGTTAAGCTTCGACTTCAGCCAGGTCACGTCAATATCTCGGTCCGTGAGTTCAAGCCCCGGGCTGGGCTCTGGGCTGATGGCTCAGAGCCTGGAGCCTGTTTCCGATTCTGTGTCTCCCTCTCTCTCTGCCCCTCCCCCGTTCATGCTCTGTCTCTCTCTGTCTCAAAAATAAATAAACGTTGAAAAAAAAAAAAATAAAAGACACCCTACAAAGAATGAAAAGACAAGCCAGAGACGGAGAAAATCCTGCCAGACATTTATCTGATAAGTGAGTGGTATGTCCAAACTCATAAAACCTAACAATAAGAGGAAAAGACAGTTAAAACCTTGAAAAAAGATGTGAACAGTCCATGACAGAAGTTAGATGTATGGATGGCAAAAAGCGGATGAAAAAGTGCTCAACAACATTAGCTATTAGAAAATGCAAATTCAAACTACATGAGATAGCATTATATACCTATAAGATTGACTAAAATTTAAAGGGTTGACTATACCAAGTGTTGGTGAGATGTGTGGAAGAACTGGAATACTCATACAGTGCCACTGTGACTATAAAACGGAATAACCTCTCTGGAAAACAGTTTGGCAATTTGTTAAAAAGTTAAAACATATACCTTTTAGGTGACCTATCTGTTCTACTTTTAGATAGTTACCCAAGAGAAAAGGAACTTTACGTTCATGTGAAGATTTATACATGAATGTTAATACCAGCTTTATTTGTCATAGTAAAAAACTAGATTTAACTTAAAAGTCCATCAGTAGTTGAATGAATAAACAAACTGTGGTCTATACAGTGGAATACTACTCAGTGAAGAGTAATGAACTCGATACATGCAACAACACAAATGAATCTCAGAATAATTGGGTGGAGTAAAAGAAAGCAGACAAAAAAGTATATTCTGTATGATCCCATTTATGTAAAATTAAAATTGTAAAATATGAAAACTGTAGTGACAGTAAACAGTGAGTGAAATGAAGACGGAGAGATTATCCAGGTGCACAAGGAGACTTTTGGAAAATACTCATTATTTTGTTGATGTAGATTTGTGGGTATATCATATGTCAAACTTTATCAAAATGTGTATTTAAAGTATTTGCTGTTTGTTGTGTAATTATAACTCAAACTGTTTAATAATTGAAAAGAAAACAAAATTTTTTTGCCATGATGTTTGTGGTACAGTTGAAAAGTGAAAGGACCAAAAATGAGGTTGGAGTTACAGTGTCATCATTGAGTATTGGAAAAATACATTATTCCAATTATTTATGTACATTATTATGGTAGCCTTTAGTGGTTGCCAGTGGTATTTTTAAAAATATTTTTATTTCTTAATGTTTAAATGTCTTTCTTCATGTGAATATAAAAGTACTGAGAAAAATGACATTTTCCTCTTTTTTCTCTTCTCTCCTCCCCCCCCTTTTTTTTTAAAGGAGTGACAGTTCATTCAGATTCTTTGTATTCTTCTTCGTCTATATTTGTCAGTTTGCTGTTCATGTACTCCAGGCTGCAGGATTTCATAATTGGGGCAACTGGTAAGCCGTTTACTTTAATTACTCTAGTTTTAATCTGTTTGTGTAGTACCTCTATATAATTTTTGGCTTCCTAAAAATAGTTAACATAGAAAAGCCAGATTATCTAAAGTAAAAATAGTAAAAAATGCAATTTAAAAAATGTCTAAGGCATAACCTTTGGGCAAACCATTCTATATGAAAATTAGGTTGCCATCTTTTTATTTTTTTTCAAGAAACAAACTTTTTTTTTTTTAAGTTTATTTATTTAGAGAGTGAGCAGGGAAGGGGGGGAGAGAGAGGGAGGGAGGGAGGGAGGGAGAACTCCAAGTAGGCTCTACACTGTTAGCTTGGAGTCCATTGTGGGGGTCAAACCCACAAACTGTTGGAACATGACCTGAGCCGAAACCAAGAGCTGGATGCTTAACTGACTGAGCCACCCAGGCGCCCCTAGGTTGCCATTTTTAAAAACAGCATATTGTATCTAGTTTAAATGAAATGTATATATAACAGGTACTAAAAGGAAGAGTAAAAAGACTGAGGAGTGGTCAGAGCTGGGCCAAGGATTGTGGAGGGGAGAGGAAAGAACTTGTAGGATTTAAAGGAAAAGAATACCTGTTATGTGTAAAGCACTGTTTTAGGTATATAAACATATATTTCCATACAAACACATGCATGTGAACACTTGTCTTTGAAAAATGGTATCACTGCAATGCTCACTTTGGGAGACCCTCAGAAACTGAAACTATTTGGACTCAAGCTAGGAGATAATAGCAAATTTGTATCTGTGTTCATACACTTTGGAACAATCATTCCTTGAATGAAAAAGTGGGTAGAAGAGTACACATCTCTAAAATTATCCCTCCCTCTCTTGTATTTTAATTGAGTTACATACAGTTGAGTTCTTATAAACAACACCATATACAAGACAGTTTTGCTGCACTGTACATAAACTAAAATAAGCATGTAGCTGGAGTGAATTGAGGACTTAAGTTTAGTGTGCTACCACCAAATCAGAATAGAGACTGGCAATCAGACAATTATCGGTAGCTTTGTGGATCTCCTAATGGGCATGTATACAGGTAGAGAATTTTTATGGATACCTTAAATCAGTTCTTGAAAAACGTAGCATTTGTTATCATTTCTTTTTTTTTATTATTTTTTTATTTTTTTAATTTTTTTTTTCAACGTTTATTTTATTTTTGGGACAGAGAGAGACAGAGCATGAATGGGGGAGGGGCAGAGAGAGGGAGACACAGAATCGGAAACAGGCTCCAGGCTCTGAGCCATCAGCCCAGAGCCTGACGCGGGGCTCAAACTCACGGACCGCAAGATCGTGACCTGGCTGAAGTCGGACGCTTAACCGACTGCGCCACCCAGGCGCCCCATGTTATCATTTCTAATAGTGTGTTTAGTCTTTGGCATATGAGGGAAAGAAAATGTTCTTAAATGTTTAATTAAAAAATACATTGTTTATGTTAACAACACAAGTTTTTTAATTTTATGAAATTGAAGTAATTTGTTTAGTTTTTTTCAGCACAGATTCAGAAGAAAGTGTTAAAATTGAGCATAACAGAATGTGTAGTGGCTACATAGCACAGGAGACTGATAGGAAGGGGCCATACCAGATGACCCGTTTGAAGATCAACCTCATGTGATCCAGCAACTTTTTAAAAAATTAAACTGTTTATTTTGAGATAATTGCAGATTCACACAATTAGAAGAAATAAAATTCTATACCAAATTTTCCCAAGGGTAACATCTTGCAAAGTCATGGTATAATTTCGAAACAAGAATCTTGACAGTCATAAGTAGAGATAACATTTCCATCACCAGAGAATCCCTCATGTTGCCCTTTTGTAGCACATTAATTTCCCTCCTGCCCTCATCCACTTATTAACCCCAGCTATCACTAATGTGTTGTTCGTTTCTGTAATTTTGCCATTTTAAGAATGTTATTTAAATGGGGTCACTTGGGTGGCTCAGTGGTTAGGTGCCTGGCTCTTGATCTCAGCTCAGGTCTTGATCTCGGGGTTGTGAGTTCAAGCCCTGCATTGGGCTCCATGCTAGGCATGAAGCCCACTTAAAAAAAAAAAAAAAAAAAAAAAAAAAAAAAAGTTGTATAAATGGCATCATGGGATAAGTAACTTTTGTCTTTTTGTGCTCAGCATAGTTCTCTGGAGATTCATCTGGGTTATTGTGTGTATCAGTGGCCATAGTTCTTTCTTTTTTATTCCTCAGTAAAACTCTGGATGTACCGCAGTTTGTTTATCCGTTCACCAGTGAAGGACTAGACTTTTCTCATTTTAGGCTATTATAAATAAAGCCTCTACAAACATTTGTGAACAGGTTTTATGTGAACATCTGTTTTCATTTCTCTGTGATAAATATCCAAGAGTATAATTGTTGGTTCATATGGAAGTTTCATGTTTAGTGATCTTTTTAAGAAACTAACAGACTGTTTTTCAGGATGACTGTACCATTTTACATTGCCACCAACAATGTATGAGTTACTCAGCTTCCACATTCTGGCCAGCATTTAGTGTTGTCACTTTTTAAAATTTTAGTTGTTTTGATAGCTGGATAGTGATATCTCACTGAGGTTATAAGTTGTATTTCTCTGGTGACTCATGATGTTGAACATCTTTTCATGTGATCTTCCCCCCTCTTTATAGCCTCTTGATGAAACATCCTTTCATGTGTTTTGCCCATTTTCTAATTGAATTTTTTTTCTAACTGTTGAACTTTGAAAGTTCTTCATATATTCTGCATGCTAATCATTAGTTGGATATATGGTTTACAAATATTTTTTTCCATAACTAAGCAGAATTTAAAATGAACTTAAAGTAATAATGAATGCCTATACTTAAAAAGTAAAATCTGGTGGTACACACTTTAGGCTCTGGCATTTTCTATTGGGTTTGAATTTAGACTATGCCATTTATTAGCTATATGACTGAGAAAGTTACTGAATATCTCTGATTCAGTTGCTTATGTGTATAATAAGGATTTAAAACAACATCTATCTATGGGGTGCCTGGGTGGCCCAGTCGGTTAAGTATCCGACTTCAGCTCAGGTCATGATCTTATGTTTTGTGAGTTCGAGCCCTGCGTCGGGCTCTGTGCTGACAGCTCAGAGACTGAAGCCTGTTTCAGGTTCTCTGTGTCCCTCTCTGTCTGCTCCTCCTCCACTAATGCTTTGTCTCTCAAAAATAAATAAATGTTTAAAAAAAACACTTTTTTTTTAAATAGCATCTAAGGGAATTGTTGTGAGAATTAAAAGAGTTAACATGAAGAATTTGAACATTGTGTGGCTTATAAGTGCTGAATATGTGTTGGTCCTTATTTTTTAAAAACCCGGCATTAATTTATTTGTCTAATTATACTCTTTTTTAAAAAAATTACTTGTTAGTGGTTGGATTTCATCCCTTACTGGTCTCAACCAAAGTATTCCTGTTGGAATTATGATGATCATCATAGCAGCACTTTTCACAGCATCAGCGGTCATCTCACTAGTTATGTTTAAAAAGGTAAGTGACATTTTACATCTGTAAATTTTTATAGTTAATCTTATGTGCAGTTCTCATTTTCCCATTTTGCTTATTATTTTTTTTAATGTTTATTTGATTTTGAGAGAGAGAGAGATGAGAAAGAGAGAGAGTGTGAATCAGGGAGGAGCAGAGAGGGAGACAGAATCCAAAGCAGGCTCCAGGCTCTGAGCTGTCAGCACAAAGCCCCATGAGGGGCTCGAACTCACAAATCATTAGATTGTGACCTGAGCCGAAGTTGGATGCTTAATGACTGAGACACCTAGGTGCCCCTCCCATTTTGCTCCTAATTCAGTGTAACCTCAAGCCATTTTGTTCTTCTTGTTACAAGTGTGCTCTCTGAGCATTACAATTAGAAGTTATGGATAGGTAATATTGCCTCACGTTTTTAACTTACTCTAAAAAGGGAATATTTTAAAATCCTGTTATTACTTAGGGCTTCTTTCATGAAGAGTCAGCCTCATTTTGAAAATTTGGAATTGGGGTGCCTGGGTGGCTCAGTTGGTTAAGCATCTGACTTCAGCTCAGGTCATGATCTTGTGGTTCATGGGTTCGAGCCCTGTGTCAGGCTCTGTGCTGACAGCTCAGAGCCTGGAGTCTGCTTGGGATTCTGTGTCTCCCTCTCTCTCTCCCCCTCTCCTGCTTGTGCTCTGTCTCTCTTAATCTCTCAAAATTGAATAAATGTTAATTTTTTTTTAATTTGGAATTAAAAAAATACATATTCTGATTTCTTTTTTTGAATATAAAGCATATTTGCCTAATTGATAAATAGAAGTAAAAAAGTGTGGAAAGTGCATTTTGTTTGTATTTGAAATTGAAAGACATGAAATTATGAGTATAAAGTAAGCTGATGATGGGTTTGGGCTGGGTTATAACATGAATTTTATTTTCGTGATTGTCCAATTATCTTAGCTATACTTCTTTCTGTAAAATTCCCATGGCTATTTTCATAGCCTTAAAAAAATTATTACATAGAGAAATCAAAGTTATGATTTGTTATATAAAGTTATATATATATATATATATAACTTATATATAAAGTTATATAAGGTTTTATTGTATCTTATATATTTTTGATATCCTATGTGTGTCCAAACATGTAGATTGTACATCATATAGAGACCCTGGGAATAACACTTATGTTTTAAGATGATAAAGAACTTTTTGGGGAGTCTCATTTTAAAGAAGATAATTCCTTAGAACTGTTTTTTCTTAATTTTTTACTGTCTGGTAACTTAAGAAAATGTACAAGGAAAATAGAAATAACTAACTTAAGAAATAACTAATTTAAGAACACTTTTGCACTCTTGGGGCGCCTGAGCGTCCAGCTTCAGCTCAGGAGGTCATGATCTTGCGTTTGTGGGTTGGAGCCCCACATCAGGTTCTGTGCCGACAGCTCAGAGCCCAGAGCCTGCTTTGGATTCTCTGTCTCCCTTTGTCTCTACCTCTCCCCTACTTGCACTCTGTCTCTCTCTCTCTCTTTCTCAAAAATAAAATTTAAAAAGTTAAAAAAAAAAACCACTTTGCACTCTTGAAATATTTTGCACATTTGCCTTTTATCCTTTTCAAAACCCTGAAGACTAGGCTGTGTTCTTTCTGTCCATATTTTGCTACTCATTTTCTCTCTTAAAAGCTGTTACTTGTTTTCTGAACTGGTCACACGTACTATTGAATATTGAAACTCAGCTTTCCAAAGTTAATAAATCACGTATCCTTTTTGCAGTTATCTTTTTCCTTGAACTCTGCAGCTTTCTACGCTGCAGGTGGCCCCTCTTCCTCAGTCTGTGTAATTGTGTTCTGATTCTCTTGCCTTTGACCTATTCTTTCTCCTTCATTCCTTTGTCCAGCTCCTAAGTACATGTGTACTTAAATGCAGTCAGCTCTCTGCTCTTTGTGCTCTATAATCTTTGTCCTTGTAAATTTCAGTCTCTCCAATTTTGGGGGTCCTTTCTCTTCTCTATTCTGGGTGACCTAGAATCTTGGAGTTGGAAGACATAATGCTTTGCATAAAAATTTAGTTGCTTCCTCAGGTGACTGTTTAGAACTCCCATTGATTGGTATCATCATGTCACAGTAATGTTTCTTCTCAGAACTAGCTCTTCTTCCAGAAGCTCTGATTCATAATCAAGAAAAATTTATTAAGACCACATATTATATGATTTCATTTACCATTAAGTGTCCAAAACAGGCAAATCTATAGAGATATAAAGTAGATTTGTGGTTGCCTGAGGTTGGGGGTAGGGTGGAGAGGGATTGCTGATGGTTATGAAAGTTCTTTTTGGGGTGATGAAAATTTCTAAAATTAGATTGATAGATGATCTATTCACAACACTATAAATACTAAAAACCATTAAGTTCTATCCTTTAAAAGGGTAAATTGTATATTATGCAAATTTTATCTCAGTAGAGCTGTTTTAAAAAATGAATATTTATTAAGTACCTACTGTAAATTAGGTGGTACTAAGTATTTTCTCCTATGATTCCGTTAAAATTTATGTCAACACTTTGACTGCTTTTGTCAGTGCTTTCATTACTTTTTTAGTCCCTATCCTCGATAACTTTCTAAGTATCTTTTCCATCCTTTTCTTCCTTTTCATTCCCAGTCTCAGCTAGCCCAGAAATGTTTTGCAGGTCACCACCCCTCACTTCCCCCATCTTCCTTCAGTTACTATGTGAATCTAAAAAAAACCCACCCAAACAACTCTGAAGATTTTTAAAGTGGACTTGGATTGGGGAATGGGATTTTGATGGTTGTGGGAACTAGGGCTAGTAGTGACCTTATACTGCTCCTGGATCCACACTTGCTTCTCTAGTGGAAGACCCATGTCTTAAGGATTGTGTCATCCTTAATTTTCTTGGGAACTTACTGTAGGTGTTACTCACTATGGCATCTGGGTACAAGCCACTCTGTATATCTTATAATGCACATACTCTGGGTACCCAGCTTGTTAGAGTTCCTCCAGGGTGAATGTGGCTTCTAGCCTTGGAATTAGAGGAGCAAGAGCTTTGGAACCATACAATTCAGGTTGAAATTCTGGTGCCTTGACTTCAAGGCGTGTGAGCTGAGGCAGCCTTCTCTAACCACTCAGTCTCAGTGTCATCACCTGTACTCTAAGCTCCTCAGGGGCAGAGGCCTAGTCTGTGTGCTTTCAGGTTTTTTTGGTCACATCTGGAACAGTGACTGGCAGTGATATATGGTGGGCACTCAGAGTATTTGTTGAATGAAGGAAGGAATGGGAATAATAACTACTTCCATAGGGTTGGAGTGAGGATTAAGTGAAACAGTGAACATAAGCTGCCCAGCACAGGGCTTCTTCAGCCAAAATTAACGACTTTTTCTGGTCTTCTTGACCCCTTTATCAGTTTATATGCAGGGTGGTCTGGTTTAGTGTCTACTTTTGTTTAGTAGGTGCCTGTATCAATCTAAAAGGATTTGGCTTATGTGGTTGTGGGAGCTTGCTGAATTAGTCCGAAATCCATAGAGTGGGCAGGCAGGAAGGGTTGGAAAATCTGAAGCAGAAGATGAAGCTCCAGTGCCAGGTGAGATTTCCTCAAAGAAACCTCAGTTCTTTTCTTAAAGCCTTTCAACTGATTTGATCAGGCCTACCAGGTCAAATACTATTCTCCTTTTCTTAAAGACAACTGATTAATAATCACACCCCCAAAATACCTTCACAGCAACATCTAGATTAGGGTTTTATTAATAACTGAAGACTATAGCCTAGCCCAGAAACCTGACCATCACAACATCTCTTTGGACATTTCCTTTATTATTGCAGATGCTTTATAAAACTAGAAATGTAGTAAGTTTAAAATACAGTAAATACAGTAATGGATTTTGGGGTATGTTGCAGGTTCTATTCATTTTTTAAACAACCATTTATGATCATGTGTTATGTGCCAAGTGCTGCACTGTGTATGAGCTCAAGGAGCCCACATTTTGGTGTGAAGGATAAACAAGTGAGTGGGTACCAAAATTCGGTGATTTAGTGGCTGTTTTGGGGGCAAGTACAGGGATCACAGAGGAGAGATACCTAATTAAGTTTTGGAGGTATTTTAAAGTAGTGGGGTCTTGTAAAGTGTTTCCTTGGCTGAGATATTATGATTAGCAAGAGTTATCTAAGTAAAAGAATAGGGAGAAGGAAGAGCGTAAATAGGTACCAGGTAACAGGGATACCATTTTCATATCTAGTTGCAGGAAATAACATGACATAGGGAATTAAAAGTAGCTCAGAATGGATGGAAAATCAACTTGGTGCATGAGTTGGACAGGGAGAAATGTGCGGTGTTGTTGGTGGAGGACAGGAAAAGATGAGACTACGTACATAAGTTTAGTTAGATTTTGCAGGGTCTTGTAAAGTAGGAAAACTTAATAGGTTTGGATCTTTCCCACTGAGTGGTGGTGAGCCATAGAAGTGGTTTAAAGAGGAAAGTAAAAGAATTGATGAATTGATCAATTTGAGCTTTAGAAAGATTTGTAATTTGTGTGGTGGGGACATGGTACTTGGAGAAATGAAGACAGGGAGGCAGGATAGGAAGCAGGTTAGTAATGGTGGCCAGAACTAAGGAAGCAGCAGCGTGAAGTAACTGAACTCAAGGGAATATGCACGTAGTGATTGATTGGACCTGGCCCCAGAAGCCGAGGATGAGGGAAGGCTCAAGAATGACACCCAGGTTTTTAGATGGTGGGTCATTCAGAAAGAGAGTACAGGAAGAAGAACAGATATATGGGCATTGGGGTGCCTGGCTGTCTCAGTTCATAGAGCATGTGACTCTTAATCTCAAGGTTGTGAGTTCAAGCCCCACATTGGGTATGGGGCCTACTTAAATAAAAACACATTATGTGAAAAAGATACATGGGCATCAAGTTGTTTTCAGCTTTAAATCCAGAGAATTTAAAATGATGCTGGGGCATCAAAATATAAATACATGGTAGGCTTTTGGATCTATAAGTTGGAAGCAAAGGAAAGAGCTTTAGGCTG